CCCCTTTATGCCCCTTCACACTCCTTCACACCCCTTCACACTCCTTCTTACCCCTACACACCCGTTCAACAAAACTGACGTGTGTGTGCAGAGGGGTGAAAGGCACAGCTCCACAGGGAGCTTCCTCGCAGATGCCACACTGAGCAAAGGCCTGACAGAAAACACACAAACCGGCGGCGTCTATTTTGACTGGGTCGCGGGACTATGGCTGAATTTTTCCACAAATTTTCTTTTTCATTTTTTAAGACAGGGTCTGAAACTACATAGCCCAGGCTGGCCTCAAACTTAGGGCAATCCTCCTGCCTTACCCTTGCAAGAAGCTGAAAGGTAATCATGCCTGGCTCTGATTTTCTGTTACTGTTCTATTGACTTCTATAGCTTGATACAGATTTTCTGAACGTGGCAGGGAACTCATTCACTTCATGGATCAAAGAAGCACCAAGATAGTCTTCAATCTTGGCACCAAGACATAAATGCCAAGAACCTGAAATTTAAGATTTACAGCTGCTTCTTGTGGATTGGAGGTGTGTGTGAGGTGTTGGGATGGGACCCAGGGTTGGGAGCCTGCTAGGTGAGCTCTCTACTACTGAGCTGTATCTTAACTTCCACCCAACCCCTTCTCCCGTGTCCCAGGCCGGCCCTGAACTCACTATGTACCTCTCTGTCTGCTAGGCAAGCTGGCTTTCTCACATTTCACATATGTGCGTCTTGGAGAAGAACAGATTGCAGAGCCTAGGGCAGGGAGAGTGTATAATCTGGGGAAGCAGAACCCTGGCACTTTTGTGAAGCTGCAGGAGGCTGTGTGACACAGGAGCAGACAGTGAGCATGAGGGAGAATGCCCGGAGGACCCATGGGGATATCCCAGAGTGCTGCCTGGTCCCGTTCTGGAAAGGGCACGGGTGACTTAGTAGCCCAGTTCCACTGTCCCTAGTTGGATCAAATCAGGAAGAGAGCACGGACGATTTTGAGAGGAAAGAAACTCACAAAGTGAGCGCTCGCGCACGCGCAGCTCGATGGTGCAGACCCAGCAAGGACAAGTCGCTCAGTCCTTTCCCCTTCCAAAGAAGGCCAGTGGCCAGCGGTCAGGCTGTAACACAGTTCATGGTCCACTCTTCAACATTATTTGAGACTTCTCTATGTTCCATTTTTTCTGGCTATTTTTGTTTGTTTGTTTGCTTGCTTGCTTGATCTTCTTGAGACAGGATCGCACAGCTAAGGATGACTTGGAATGTATGATCCTGCTGGCCCCATCTCCCAGATGCTCGCCCTGCAGACTTGAGTCACCACCGCATTTGGTTTGGGTGGTGCTGGGGATCCATCCAGGGTTTGGTACATGGTGGGTAAACACTATCACCTGAGCTACATTCCCAGCCCTTTACCTGTAAGAATTTTAGCAAAGCAGGTTTCCTGCTTTTATGAACCATCTAGAAAGCTTTAACTTCCTTTGAAATGCCACCCCTCACTGACTTTATTTCTACAGGACAAGGTAAACCATTTCAGGAACTCTCATGCTGTGTTTCCCGAATCTCCTAACAGCCATTCTGTCAGTCATTGCTATTGAGCTGAAACTCTACAAACTGACATCCACCTGCATGTCCTGAGTCTTATTCATCACTGGTACAAACTCTAATCGCCTTAAATACAAATTCTGCTTTAACGTCTTGTCAAGAGGATAACAATAATACCCTAAGGTTAAAAAAATAAAAAACCATAAAGTAGTTTCTTGAGAGTTTGATATTGTCCTTATCAACCTGCTCGGAGTTTAATACGCTGCCACATGCAGCCAGGTCAGAACTTTGTACAGATAGCTTTTGATGTGCAAGGAATCTCCAGTTTCTTCAACAGGAATATTTCTAAATAGGATTTAAGTCCAAATGTTTAACTATAAAGAGATACAAACTGAGCAAAAATTTCTTAATTGATCTTTATTTTATTTATTTGTTTGTTTGTTTTTGTTAGGCCTCAGGCTTCAGAGTGCTGGGGTTAGGCGTGTGATTAATCACATCCACAATTTACCTTAATTGATTTATCTTTATTTTAAGTTTTGAGACCCGGATTCACTATGTAGACCTAGCTGGCTAGGGACTTTCAATGTGGGTCAGGCTGGCTTCAAACTCAAAGAGATCTACCTGTCTGTGCCCCCTGGGTGCTGGAATTAAAGGCATGTGCCATCTCACCCAGCCCCTTAGTGTACCTAGGAAAAACTCTATTTGATAGATACGTCTGACCAGATAGTCCAGGCTTTGGGGTGGGGAGGGGGCTCCATGGTAAAGGTGCTGCTGCCCAAGCCTGACCTGAGTTCCATCACCAGGTTCCGTATATGGTGGGAAGAGAAAGCTGACTCCATGATATTGTCCTCTGACCGCCACAAGTGCACATATGCACACACACACACACAGTCGCACACACATATACTCTCCAGCACACACACTCACACACATGAGCACACACATATGCACACACTCTCACATAAACTCTTCAGCACACACACACACATGCACACAAGACACTCTTACATATACTCTTCGGCATGCACACATTCACACAATACTCACAAACTCACACACATACACGCAAACATACACACACACACTACACTCATACACACACTAATAATTTATAAATACTTTGCTGTAATAATATAAATAGAACATCATAATGTACTCACTGGAAGACTTAAGAACTCATTAAAGTAATCCACAAGGAAGCCATCTGTTGCCAAAAAATTTTCCTGCAAAAAAACATAAAAACATTACAACCATGTTTTGAAGCATGCCTTACGGTGACTTAGATCTCAGACTTTTTAAGTCAGTTACACCTTGAAGCCTCACTACAAACCTAACACAGTCTCTGGAAGGGGCAGGAAAACGGGCTACGACATGAACTGAGCCCTCAGGAGGCACAGAACCGAGCGTTCACAGCCAGTCTCAGCTATGGAGTGCATTCAAAGTGGACAACTTGAACCTCGCCTTAGCCACCACCACCCTCAACAAAAAGAAAATAGAGTGGACTATTCATTCTCTCAAAGTCCTTGCTACCGCAACTAGCAAAGGGGACAAGAAGAATGTAGCAGAACACGTAAATGAAGCATCTACAAATACAAAGTGAAGCACTGCATGATAAATTTCTCAGACTTTTAAAATACACACTTCATAAAAATACAGGCAGAGGTCTACAAGATGGCTCGCAGGTAAATACTCTCGCCACGAAAACGTGATAACCTGAACTCAATACCACAACCCATGCAAAGGCAGAAAGAGAAGGCTCTGTGAAGTTTCCCACTGCCTTCCACATGTGCGCCTTGAACACACACACATAATAATACAAATTTAAAATAAATGAAAAATAAGGCAGGGTCATCGTTAAAGACAGTAGCAAGTGGTAAGGGATGTAAAATTCTTTGCTGCTCAATTAGAGTGACAAGCTATGCACGATATTCAATTTCTGTGAGCATGAGATTCAGTTTCCAGGACTTGGATCCTGCTGGATTTTGAACAAAGACACTTTTGCCAGGGCATGTGTTCTGCAAACGGACTGTATACATTTTTTTCTGTAACTGTCTCACCCACCAACATTGCCACTTTTGAAATTGGCAAAATAACCGCTGCCAAGAAAAAACTGCTCTCCTAATCCTAAAACACCTACTCCACTGGCCATTGTTTCCACTGTGTCAAGGGCGCATCATGGCACATCGTGGCACATCGTGGCACACTCGGTGGAACAGTGCATGTGGATATCTGTTATTCATAATTATACTGCAATTTTGTAAATCTAAGACGAAAGTTGAAACATGACACAATGCTATTACTTCCATATGGCTGATAATTTTCTTTTTATGAAGTACTAGCTAATTTTTAAAAATTAGTGAAGTAGTGACTGGAGAGATCACTCAGTTGGTAAGGGCTTGTTGTGTGTACCGGCTGGTTTTGTGTGTCAGCTTGAGACAAGCTGGAGTCATCAGAGGAAGGAGCTCAGCTGAGGAAATGCCTCCTTGAGATCCAGCTGGAAGGCATTTCTCATTTAGGGATGACCGGTGGAGGAGGGCCCAGCCCATGGTGGGTGGTGCCATACCTGGGCTGCTGGTCCTGGGTTCGATAAGGTGGGCTGAGAAAGGCAGGACAAGCAAGTCGGTAAGCAGCTCCCCTACATGGCCTTTGCATCAGCTCCTGCCTCCAGGTTCCTGCCCTATTTGAGAACCCCTGCTCTAGGCATGTCCACTTCCAGGAGCCCCTAACTCAGCCCATGCGATGAAACGCATGCTTCGTCTCGATCTCATGATCTGTCTCAGACATGGACTTCCTGGAGATACACTGAGAGACCCAAGGACGCGCACGGTCGTCTGGGTTCTCATGGCTAGACACTACAGCTACAACCACTGCTCGACACAACATCTCTCCCTGGCTTCTGGGCCCCTCTTGCTGGGGACTGACTGTCCTGGGCGCACTGGGGGCCCTGACTTTCCTCCATGGAGAGTTGGCACTGTGTACTGTCACATGCTCAAGTTTCTAGAGACGACCATAATAAATTAAAATATTGTTCAAATACGTAAAAATTGGCATTTCTTTTGTGATGCTATGTCTTAACGTTTATGGTTATTAAATACTGATAGTCATATTGACTTGGGGCAGCTATGATGTGTGAGATTGGTGCAAACGCTGCCCGCTCTGGCCTGATGGCCATTTCAGCAGGAAGCTGTGCCTCTGAATAAGGGAGTGCATTTCCCACCGCAGCTACTAGTTCAGTGTGGGCACATCTAGTCACATCAGCAGGCAAACCAAAGGGGCTGGGCAAGTGCTGTGTGTGCGTGTGTGCACGTGCTCATACATACGTGTGCGTGTGCTCAGGCATGTGTGTGCATGCAGTGCACATGTGTGTATACATGTGTGTGTGCATACATGCGTGTGTGCATGTGTGCGCTGCGTGTGTGTGCATGTGTGTGTGTGTGTGTGTGTGTGTGTGTGTGTGTGGTACTGGGACTGAACACAGAATCTTGTGCATGCTAGGCAAGAATTCTACCACAAAGTGGCATCTCTCGATCTGACAAGCTTTTTACTCCCAAAGCCCTTGAATTATAAAAGGAAAAACCCCGAAAGTCTTTAATTGGTTTTAGTAGCTCTGCTTTTCTCATTAAGTTTCCACAATCCAATTACTCAGATATTTTTTTGATTAATTAAATTTCCTAAGTCATGTTGATATCTTCCAAGTACCCAACAAACTTGATGGTTAAAGGAGTAACGAGAAAATTGAGTTCCACTCAGTTCCTCCATTACATCACTCTGCAGGTGTGACTCAGCGTGGAGGGCTCCTTCAGTACTTGCTGCTCTTGACAACTGCCATCCCATTTGCTACGGACGTGCCTCCTGCAAACGTGAAGTCAGCGCATCCAATTTTAGCCCAGGCTTCCTGAATCTCTAACAGGAGGAGGGGTGGACCAAGCCGTCTGTGCACACCTGCCAGCCACAGTCGCTGCTGCTGATGGAAGCGTGTGTGTGGCTTCTGTCTCTGTGCCATTTCAACACAGATCTCTTTTTGATATAGCATGTGTAGGTCAGAGGACAGCTTTCGGGGTTGGCTCTCCCACTGTGTGGTCCTCTGAAGGAAGCTGAAGGGGTTGTAAAAACTCTTTCCTTCTCACCCGCTATTTAATTCTAATCTCAGATCATAGCCATGAGATTTTAGTGACTCTACCACACCCAAACCTCCAAGGCTCTCTCCCTGTTCAAAAGCCCTTCCAACCTGATAGTCAAACCTAAAAGAGACAGTGGCTCCCACTTTCTCCCCTTCTCCATCTTAAAGGGGCAAAGGCGGGTGTGGTAACGTCGCTAAGTCTCAACCTCACAGCTAACACACAAATGTAGCCGCTTAGCATCTTGGTGCTTCACTGGAAGGGTTAGTTAGTGTCTTCATTTGCCTTTGCATGTTTGCTAAAAACACGGATCGATCACAGCTTAGGGAGGAGAGGGTTTGTTTCAGCTTACAGCTGAGGGGAAGTCAGGGCAGGAACTCAAGCCAGGAACCTGACGGCAGGAACTGAAGCAGAGGCCATAAGAGAACAGAACTTACTGGCTTGCTCCTTGTTTGCTCAATTCACTTCTTATACACCCAGACCACCTGGCAGGGGTGGCACCACCCACACTGGGCTGGGCTCTTCTGCAACAATCGTCCGTCAGGAAAACTCCCACAGCTGCACCTACAGGCTAATCTGATGTGGGCACTTCCTCGGCTGAGGTCCCTTCTTCCCAGATGACTCCAGCCTGTGCCAACCTGACCGAAGCCAGCGAAAGACAAACCAGCACGGTTCTCTCTCCAGTCGGACGGAATGCTGCTTTTGCAATTCACGACTGATAATGTGTGCTCCCGGAACAACTTACAGCCATTGACTACATATCTGTGGAACGTCTTAACAGTTTCCACAGCTTCAAAATCATTAGAGAATCGATCCCTGTCCTGAGTCTTGACCTCCGTAGGGATGAGTGACCTGAAATAGCAATACTTTCCAAGGGCCCTCTGGGATGCATCTCACTTTCCAGATAGCTTTCCCACAATGCTCTGGCTCCTAGCTATGCATTGTCTCCAGGAAAGAAGGGATGGAGAGAGACAGAACCAACGACTCCTGCGTTCCAGCCCCCGACCCTCCATGGTTTCCATGTGAAGCTACCTATTACCAACTGAGATTGCTCTCAGTTACTCACCCCACCATGTTCCGTTTGGGAAACAAACACTAAGTGATTACAGCCATGCAGCCTTCTTCCTGGGGTCTGGGGTTATGGATATTTTGATATACTGTGTTTAAATAATGTTTTAGAGTTTCTATTGCTGTGAAGAGACACCATGACCACAGCAACTCTTATAAAGAAAGGCATTTAATTGGGCAACTTACAGTTTAGAAGTTCAGTCCATTATCATCATGGTGGGACATGGTGGTGTGCAGACATGGTGCTAGATCTTATGTCTTGGTTGGCAGGCAACAGGCAGTGGTCTGAGACACTGAGCATGCCTTGAGCATATGCAACTTCAAAGCCTGTCTCCACAGTGACACACTTCCTCCAACAAAGCCACACCTCCTAATAGGGCCGCTCCTTTGGGGCCATTTTCTCTCAAACCACCACAAAGAAGGATGCTATTTACATGCTCCGGAAATCTGGCATCGGAGCTCTAAAGACAGGGTGACTCTGAGACAGCGTAGCCTTGGTTGAAAACAAACACCAGTTTTCACAATTAAAGGCTGTAAATAGTAATTGAATCTAAAATCCCTCTTAAAGTTAATTTTTTGAGAGTTTCTTCCATAAATCCTATATTTACATCATTTAAAATCCTCCTCTCCTCTCCGACCGCCTCCTGTGCTCTCCAACTCCCTCTCAAATTCACTCTTCTTCAACTATCACTACAACATACACACAGAGAGACGCATAACCTACTGAATCCATTTGTGTGGTTCATATGTGTGTTCAGAGTTGGCCATTTGGGCCTGAACCACCTGTCAGGGGCTCATCCCGGTGGAAAACTACCCTCCCCTCTCAGCAGCCATGCAGGGCCAGGGTCTTGTAAGATTTCCCGGCATTCCCGTTGCCATGTCAACTGATGTCATGCTGTCATTAGGCAGGTCACGTTTAGGCCACCATACCATTGAGACTACATTCAGCTTGGTCATGACAACTCCACAGCAGGTGTCTTAATCCCTTCTGTGTTGCTGTAATTAGACACCATGACCAAGGCAATATATAGAAGGAA